AAACTTATGGAAGTGATTGTTGATAAACAAAAGCAAATTAATAAAGTTTAAAAAAAAACCTGGAAAGACGTGTATGGACTGATGCGGAGTGAAGTAAGCATAACCAGGAGAACATTGTACACAGTAACAGCAACTTTGTGCGATGACCAACTTTGATAGACTTAGCTCTTCTCAGCAATGCAAGGATCTAAGACAACTCCAAAGTCTCATGATGGAAAATGCTATCTACATCCAGAGAAAAAAATTATAAAGTTTGAATGCAGATCGAAGCATACTTTTTGCTCTTTTTTTTTCTTCTGTTTTCTTTTGTTTCCTCTTTCCTGTGGTTCCTCCTACTGGTTTTAATTCTTCCTTACAACATCACTAATGTGAAAATATGTTTAACAGGAATGTATATGTATAGCCTATATCAGATTGCATGCCACCTTGGGAAGGGAGGTAGGGAGAGATGGGGAGAAAGATTCAAAACTCAAAAGCTTATGGAAGTGACTGTTGATAACTCAAAATAAATTAATAAAAAAGAAAAAAATTGTTAAAAGAAAGATGGCTAGTAGTTTCCACTGGGTGCCAAGCTCGGAAAAGTACAATAAAAATGAATGCCATTTTAAAATACATGTCATGATATGTTAGAGCCAACTCAACCGGCTCTTATTGTTAAATTTTCAGTATGAACATTTTATGAAGCAAATGTGGTCCTGATACACAAACCAAGGAAGGATAAAGTAAAGAAAGAGAACTATAAACCAATATTATTAATGAATATCAATTCAAAATGTTTAAGTAAAATCCTGAACAGTTAACAGCAATACACCCAAGAAATCATTCATTATGACCAATTTGGATTTATAATAGGGAGGTCAAGGATGATTCAACATTAGTAAAGCGACAAAATTTATCATATTAAAAACAAAAATATCCCAAAACACTTAATTATCTTGATAGATGCAAGAAAAAAGTTTTGACAAAGAACAACTTTAAATTACGCAAATCAAAACAAACAACAAAAAAAACCCAACCCTCTACAAAGTTATAGGTATAAAGGGACCTTTTTAACATCATAAAAAGTATTTACTTAGATAGTATATTTGATTTTAGATAAATCAATAGCAAGTATATGCAAAGAGGATAAAAAGCTTTCCCAGCAAATTCAAAGATGAAACAAGGATGCTTAGTCTCCCTGCTACTATTGTTCTAGAACTCAATTGTTCTAGAACTGCCAGCAATAGCAATAAAAGAAGAGAAAGAAATTAAAGGCATGAAGACAGGAAAAGAGGAGATAAAACTATCCATCTTGTTGGTGACAAAATAGCTTACTTAGGAAATTCAAGGGGGCAGCTAGGTGGCACAGTGGATAGAGCACTGGCCCTGGAGTCAGGAGGACCCGAGTTCAAATCTGGCCTCAGAACATAACACTCACTAGCTGTGTGACTCTGGGCAAGTCACTTAACCCCAACTGCCTCACCAAAAAAACAAAGAAAGAAGGAAAGAAAATTCAAGGGAATCAGAAAAGATACTGAAACAATTCATGCTGTTAGTAAAATTACAGGCTGCAAAATAAATCCTCACAAATAAACTACATTTCTATACAAAAAACTTAAGAGGTAATAATAGAAAGGGACATCCTATTAGAAATATTTACTAAATACATGAAATATTTGGGGATAAATTTACCAAAGCGGACAAAATATTTATATAGATTCAATTATAAAATGCCCATTAAAGAAATAAAGAGCTACTTATAAAGCTGGAGGAATATTCAATGCTCATAACTAGGCTGTGCCAATGTAACACAAATGAAAATACTAACAAAGTTGATTTATAGTTTTAGTGTTCTTCAAATAAAATTAACAAATGGATACTTCATCAAAGACAATGAACAAGCTGGCAGAAATTTGGCTTAAAATCAACATCTCACATCATATTCCATAACAAATTCAAAATGAATATAACTTAAATACTAAATATATCATAAAAATTAGGAGAAAAGCAGATCATATAGCTTTCACAGCTACAGGCAGAAGATTAACTTTCTTAACCAAAAAAGGAGTAGAGGAAATTACAAAAGATAAAATAGAGAATTTTGATTATATGAAACTTTTTGAAAAGCTTCTGCAAACAAAATTAATGTATTTAAGAATGGAAACAAGCAACTCAGAAAACTCATTTTCAAATTTCTCTGAGGGATTGCTATCCAAGATATACAGACAACAGATGCATACATAAATATATGCAAACATGTATACATATGTTTACAAGGCTAAAAAGCCATTCTCCAATAGGTAAGTAATCAAATGATATGAACAAACAGTTCTCCAAAGAACTACAAACTATTAACAACCATATGAAAGAATTCTCTAAGTTGCTAATGATAGAAGATACATGCACAACAAAATAATCCAGAGAATTAACCCAGGAAATTGGCAAAGATGATAACAGATAAGTAACAGGAAAATAGGAATGGCATTGTTGGTGGAGTTGAGAATCAGCACAAACATTTTGGAATTCAATTTGGAATTATGCAAATAAAGAGACTAAAATGTCCATACCCTTTGACCTCGATTTCCCACTGTTAATCATATATCAATATAATCAAGTAGGTCACTATAAAAAGAAAGGTTCTGATATACACCAAAACATTTATAGTAGCACTTTTTGTGGTAGCAAAGTATTGGAAATAAAGTCATTGATCATCAGTTGGGGAATGGCTAATCAAATTTTGGTATCTGAATGTAGCATATTACTGTATCATAAGAATAATAAATATGATGAATTTTTAAAAAATAACCATGAAACTATTTGCATAATCAGATGAAGAAGAGCCAAAGAAACAACATACAAGATGACTCAAAACACAAAAATGGAAACAACCACAAAAGTCAGTCAGCCAACAAGCATCTATTAAGTGCTTATGTGCTAAGCACTATGCTAAGCATGAAGAATACAAACAGAAGCAGAAAAACAGTCCCTGCAGGAGCTTATGCTCCAATGGAAGAAGACAACACATATAAGGGAGGGAGTGCACCAGGGGGGCATGGAGACGACTCGGCAATATAACCTAGAAAAGAATCAAGACATTTTTGGCCTGGGTCTCCTCCTAAATTGGAGGGCCTGGGAGGAACCAACCAATCAGAATATGATGCCCCTGGGATTGAGGGTACTACCAAAAAAGCAACGTATGGGTAGTTTCCAGGGTGAAGAGGTTTCTATGACACAGTAGAAAAAAGTCCTGAATTTCTAGGATGCAGCTAAAGCTGTCCTCAGGACAAAAATTATATCCAAAGAGATGAGGATAAATATCAATAGGGAGTCAAACAGATGTGTGGCCCCACATTCCCACGAGAAGCACAAAGGTTTGGATGGTCTGGTCAAACTTTACAAAGAACAAGCATGGACCCAAAGAAAAAAATAAGAGAAGACGTCCCTACCCTATTCCATTACAGAAGTGAGGAACATTTCATTTTCAGACTTTTTCATTGTATTAACACATTCTGCTGATTTTCTTTTCTTCTTCTTTTATTTTCTTTAAAAAATATCATTACTCTTTTCGGATCATTATTCATATACTCTCTAGAAGGGGGAGAGGAATAATGGGAGAAATTCTGGTGATATACAAAACAAATTATATCAACACAATTTTACTTTTTAATAATTGAATGAGTTAGGGGCAGCTAGGTGGAGCAGTGGACAGAGTCCAGCCTTGGAGTCAGGAGGCCCTGAGTTCAAATCTGGCCTCAGACACTTGACATTTACTAGCTGTGTGACCCTGGGCAAGTCACTTAACCCCAAGTGCCTCACCAAAAAAAAAAAATTTGAATGCATCAAATTGATTCAGGGTTCCCAGGCTTAGATGGGTCAAAAAATACATAGGAGGCACTAATCGTACTACCCTATAAAGACCCAGAATTTCACTGCCCTAAAATGAAGATGCTTGAGTACTTTTATAAATACCTTGGCTCTTTTAAGTTTTAAAGGTAACAAAAACAAATTTTGAAAAAGCTATGCTTAGTGATAAAAAAAAAGTGTTTATTGATCAAGATTCAGATACACAAAAACAGAAAGGTGAGATGTTATAAAATACCCTGGATTTAAATAGCTACTAATGGCTAGCATTTATATAATTCTTAAAGGTTTTCAATGCTCATCACATATATTATCTTATCTGACCTCAATAGCAACCCTATAAGGTAAGTACTGTTATTACCTTCATTTTACAGATGAGAAAACTGAGGCTGAGAGAGGTTGAGTGACTTGCCCAAGATCACAAAGCCAAACGTCTAAGGCAGGATTTGAATTGGGATCTTTCTGACTCCAGGACCAATGCTCTATCCACTGGATGCCTCATAATATCCGAGGTATCTCAAAATTTTTACAGAAATTAAAATATCTAATTATAGTAATTCTCCCAATATTTTTGTGAATACAGAGCAAATATAATTATCTACATATGGCAAATATGGAGGTACAAAACAGACATACTCATACAGCAAATCATAGCTGTAGCATCAGTCCAGCATCCTGCATACTATTTATTAAACTACACTGGTATTTCATCATTACTGAGTGAGTCAAGATTTAACCCAAGTGAACACTTCAACTTTTTATTTTACAACTGAACTTTAAACATTAAGACCTATGGAAAAACTAGCATCGACATTTGTGGGGAAAACTAAAAAATGTCATAAAAATTAAGAAATTATATAGTTTAGGATGCAGAAAGAGGTGAAAATTTCACTTTCTAACTCACCAACTTGAACTGGCAGTGCTTTCTTCAAAAGGTAAATGAAGTTCAATTTCAAATTAAAAGATTTTTAGAGAAACCTTATCAAGAAATCTAATTGTCATACATCAGATATTTAAAAGAAAACTCAATTTTGTTTACAAGGGAATTTGTTTTAATCACTAACAAAAGGGTTCCTCTTTGATAAATTTTATTTCTACTTTTTTTTTAAAGCTTTGTGAGATTGAGGTGGCATATTATTAGAAGTCCATTCTATACTTACTCAGTATATTTGACTCAACACCAGCTCTTCATATTCTTTCTTTCACCGAACAGTGTTCAGGTAACGTAGTCTAGGATAACAATAGACCACAAATCGATTTTTAAAAAAAAACTTCAAGCAACACATAATTTCATAAACCCATCTGTTTTGCTAAGTTCCTCTTTTTCTGTTGAGGAGTTGAAAACACCAACATCCATCTAGACAACCAGGTCTATAAATTTAATGTCATCTTGGACACATCCCACTGTCTCTGAGGCACTTCAGGCCCTCTCATCTACTATCTATTCTTTACAAAGCCTGCCACATTTTTTTTTAACTGAAGGAACATCATGGCTCCTCCCCACACCCCAAAAAAAATCTAAGGGAGGGAGGGGGTGTAGTTTATCCTCTTAGAGGAAAGTGGCTCACAAAGGACATTAGTGGTAGTGGGATGTCATTACGGGAGCAAAGCATTCTGTGTAAAAAGGTAAAGGATTTGGGTGTTTCCATATGGAGATTCTTCTCCCCTCCCCCCTCTTGTGACACCACATCATGGGGCTAGTGAGATTAATCCCATTTACTGTTCACAGGGAAGGGAAAGGATACCTTTTCTTCCTTCTGTCAAGGTCCTGGATGTAGTATTCTCCATCCCACCTCCCACCCACCCCCATCCCCCAGGGGAAAAAAAAAAGCAGACTGTAGAACAATTACATCTGACTCCACTGCAAAAGAAAGAACTCTGACAAGGCAATAACCTAATAAATGAACAGCAGAAAATGCTAATCCACTGTTGCAATATTGCACAAATAAACCCAAAGGCTGTGACCAAAGGCTGTGAGATTCCCCCCACCCAGAATCCACTGGCACATGCTACAACCTCCTAATGGTCCCTAACCCCCTCAGTACTGACAATGATTCTGCTCAATCAAGTGAAGAGAAAGTGGGATGGGAGAATAGGAATAGAAATCAAGCTATCTTCTGTCTGGAGCAACCCCTAGCATGCACTGACTCAGTCCAGAACTCCATCCCTACTCTTTCCAACCCTGATAAAAAGGACAGATTGAGCCCAGCCAGAGGAGAAGATAACTATAGTCAAGAGAAAAACTAGGGCACAGGGACAGTATGAACAGCTGCACCCAGCAAAAACAAGGAAGAGAAACCCAGCTGGGGCCAGTCCTGACCCTTAAAAGCTACTAAAGATAGGGACAGAAGCCTGTGGTGAAACATGAGGAGGAGGCTGAGGCAGCTTTGATATCCGGCCAAGATATACATACACAACATCAAAAGGGGCAGAGTCAGAAAGTGAATGATGGAAGACTATAATGGAAAAGAGCTACACCAAAGACTTGAAAAGGAAGAAGTTTAATTGAAGCACAAAATATGAGCAGATAATAACTCAAAATTAGAAGGAGGGACTAGTACTAAATATGCGGAGTACAAATCTCATCAAATTTACAAGACAGGGGGCAGCAAGATGGCGCAGTGGATACAGCACCAGCCTTGAAGTCAGGAGGACCTAAGTTCAAATATGGCCTCAGACCAAACACTTGACACTTACTAGCTATATGACCCTGGGCAAGTCAATTAACCCCAATTGCCTAAAGGGAAAAAAAAAAAAGAAAGAAGCATGGAGTTTGAATGCAGATCGAAGCATACTATTTGCTATTTTTGTCTTCTGTTTTGTTTTGTTTTCTCTTTCTTGTGGTTCCTCCTATTGGTTCTAATTCTTCCTTACAGCATCACTAATGTAAAAATATGTATAACAGGAATGTATATATAAATGTATGTATGTGTGTGTGTGTGTGTGTGTGTGTGTGTGTGTGTGTGTGTGTGTGTGTATAAACCCACATCAGATTGCATGCCATCTTGGGGAGGGAAGCAGAGAAAAATTTAAAACTCAAATGCTTATGGAAGTGATTTTTGATAAAATAAATTAATAAAAAATAAGAAAAGAAAAAAGATTGGATATGGAGGATAAGGAAGAGTGAGAAAGCAAGGATGACACTGAGATTGAACAACCCTTAAACTAGTGAAACTGAATATTGAAACATTATAGGGAACAATCCTGGCCCCAAAGAAGAAACATGAGAGACACCTGCTGCTTTTCCTCCTTTCCAGAGGTTGGTGTTCATGGGAATGGAGCACTGCATTGAACATCAATTTGTTTTGATGTGTTGACTGGTTTTGATCAATTCACTTTCTTCCCTTTTCCTATCCTAAACTTAAAATTAATCAGTTCAGAATTAAGCTTTTGTTTACTCTCAAATGTATTTCCTCTTTCTCAGACTGCAGCTCATAACTAACCTAATCCCAACCCTAGAATATCCCCACCATCCACTACAAACTTCTAACTAATTTCAACTAGGCCCTCATTGCAGCAAGGCAATCCTTTTAATCATCCTAAATGGATTCTGTATGCTATTCTAGCTGTACCAAATTTTCTCTTTCCATTTCAAGCTTCCCACACCACACTCTCCTTTCACCCTCAGCATATCTTGATTCATCATACTTTATTAAAAAGAGAGGCTATTCAATGTGAATTCCTTTTCTCAATGGGGGAAAGGAGAAAAGGTGAATGAGAGAGGGTGGATTTTCACTAATTGAATAAAATGAAATTTTAATTTTAAATTTAAATTTAATTTTTTTAATTTTAAAATTTAATTTAAATTTTTTAAAAATAAAATTAATTCCCTCTTCTACCTTTCATATCTTATATTCCCTTGACATCATCCATCATTCTCTACACTTCTACTATCATCTCCACTTCTTTCTAATCTTCAATGTTTTATCTACTAGTTCCTTCCCTATTGCCTCCTAACACATATAGGTCTACCCTCGCCTTAAAAATTCCTCCATTAACCCTACCATTCCCTCTAGGTATTATACTAGATCTCTCCTGCCATTCAAAACCAAGTTCCTAGAAGAAGCTGATTATTCTCATAACCTACAACTTCTCTTATCATTTTTCAGTCCTTTGCAATCTGGTTTCCAACCTCTTCACTCAATGGAAGCCATTCTCTCCAAACTAACTTTCAAAGAAAAAAAAGTTATCAACAAACCATATGAAAACAATGCTCTCGAAATCACAAACAGAGAAATGCAAATTATAGCAACTCTAATAGCACCTACCAGCATGGCAAAGATGAACGGAAAAAAAAAAAGAAAGAAAATGACAATTGTTGGAAGTGAGGGAAAACAAGTACACTAATGCACTGTTGGTATAGCTATGAACTGGTCCAACTATTCTGAAAAACAGTTGGAAACTATGACCAAAAAGTCCTATCATTTGACACAATGATACCACTACCAGGCCTAACCTCAAAAAAAAGTCAAAGAAAATGTACTCTTTTTGTACTCATGCACAAAAATACTTAAAATTGCACTTTTAATTATAATACTTTAAGTACCTATTAATTGGGAAATGGCTGAACAAATTACAGTATATGAATATAGCAATATATATTACATATATATAAAACAATATCTACATTACAGAGAACAATATAATATAATAACTGTAAAAAAGACCAAAAAATGACTCAGAGAAATCTGAGAACACTAGTATAAATTGATGCAAAATAAAATGAAAAGAACCAGAAGAACAATTTATACAGTGACCAGAAAGAAAATAATTTAGAATGACTTAAAAACTCTGATCAACGCTATGACTAATCAGAAAAACTGATAATGAAGTCTGCTTCCCATTTCTTGTCAGATAGATGAATAATGAAAGGTGCAGAATGAGATACACATGTTCAGACATAACCAATGGGTTGATATGTTTTATTTGACTGCTCTTATGTGTGACAAAGCAGAGTTCTTTAGAGGGTGGAGGAAGTTTTGGAGTAGTGACAGTGCTGCAAACAAAAGAAAAAAAGAAAAGTGTGTCAATGAAACATTAAACAAACTACACAGAAGTGAACAGAACAATGTTCAGAAGGGGATAAACTAATGTTGATTTTAATATATGCCTTTAAGAGTGTAACAGAAGTTCAGAGTTTCACATACAATCCTCTTCTCTATACCTTTAATACTGAAATGTGTATGTTTGTTAATATCTGTTAAATTCATAGTATACAAAACAGGATTACACATTTCTATCTCAATTAAAATAATGTAGTCAGTACAAGGGCATGATGAAGTTTAAATGTATAATAAGATAATCTACATACTGTGGTAATTTTATGCAAAGGTGCGAAACTCTTTTACTGGGTTAGAAAGGAATAACTGGTTGGCTAACCAAACAAGTTAACCATGTGTCTGGGGGTTTAAAATAACAGAAGAAATTAAAGCACCGAATCAATCAAGCAGTGAAGCATCCAGTGGTGGACTCCAGGTTCAGAAGCCAAGGATTCCAGTTCCAGAACTGGACCCAAAGGCTTCAGAGGTATTCACTCTCGGAAGAAGAGATTATTTCTCTTTCTTCTCCCTACTTTCCAAATGACCATGTTATTGGAAAGACTGTTCAAGTAGGAGACAATACATCCAATTGGGAGTAGAGTGATAGGCTGAGAAAAAACATGAATGCAGAAAGACAGTTTCCAAGGAGAGAGTTAACTTCAAGGAATATGACTCTTTAACAATGCTAGTTTTGGACTCCACAAAGGCCTTCCAGGACATGTAGCCTCAGGAACATGTTACCATGTTGCTAACCAGAAATCCTATATGTGTGGTTCCCTAAAATTGCACTGTATGCTTGAGCTCAATCCCTATGAACCTATCTGGATTTGTAGGAGAGTATGCCTCAGGCATTAGGGGTAATGTTCTGTACCAAATGTTTTTTACTAAACAATCTTATTAAATACCTGTAGTAAAGTTTTTTTAGGCTACTATCTGATAGTTAGTGGGAAAGACATCAGTTGGGGCTTAAGATAAATAAACAGCACTAGAAACCTAGTGTTTCAGATCCCACCCATAACTCTGAGTGGTAATCATCCATCCTCTGGGGACCTCAAGCTACAAGCTGGAGTACAATTCAGAGGAGTAACCTAAAAGAGGTACAACAATATTTTAAAACTTAATCAACAAACAACATCTTTGTTTTACAAGTTATTTTCTAGGAAATTTAATCCTTACATCTTGGTAAATATT